TACTTCTATACATGTATTTTCGTCTTGACTCGGTTTATGAAACTACCACTAAATCAAAAATATGTTAAAATCCACTTAAATAAAAAAAGAAATGTTGTTGATTACTACAGTAAATCTAAGTTGGTTTTTAGTACTTTCTGATGTTTGTTAGCTATGACGGAGATAACAGTGTATTTTACAATTTTAATTTGATTTTTTCAATGTAGTTAAACCAATTAAATGACTGTATTTACTTTTGTTGCTTAGTATTTTACGATTCTGCATAGTAAGACACTTTCACCATACGAGTTACTAGTACTAATCGCGATCTGACAGTAAGTTTCCAATTCAGACCGTACGTACTATCCCAAAAGTTTCAACGGTATGGCAGTCGGTAGTGTAGTCGGCATAGTCGGAGACAGCTTTTCTGACAAAGTATGATTTGACGCGGAGGGTGTTAAGGCTGTGTAGATGTGGAATTGGATGACGGCGAAATGTCTGAGAATATTCCAAGTACATGGTGTAGCGTTATACCTCATCATGACAGCTATGGCAGAGCATAGAGAATATGACAAATTTGTATATTTTATCCTAACGACCAGACTAAGTTGCGAAAATAAAGTCAGACAATTTTAAAGCAGCGAACGAAAACTGCGACCAAACTATGAAAGATTAGGCTGACAATGATTTTATCTTATGAGTATTAATGCTTAAATAAATAGTAATAGAATAGCGCAAGTTACTCTGCAGTTATGTTCAAAGACTCTTTCTTCCACAAAACGCGGGATCCCTCCGTTGGTTTGCCCATCGAACTTGCTCACGAAAAGTCTACCGGTGCCCTGATTCTGTCTGCCCTAAAATTTGAATGAAAAATTAGCTAAGCTATGACACACTATATAAGGAGAGAGAACGATCGATGTGATAAAGTTGCAATAAAGGAAAATAATATATTCATAATTTTCAGATAAGATTTGCATTTTAAAGTGCTTTAAGGCATTGCAAAAAATGTAAATAAAACCTTCTGATGAAGGAATTCAATGATATGAAAATCTCGGTACAACGGAGTCAATTTATAGACCAATGAATCTCTTTTAATTTTTAAAATATTAAATTTAAACGGAGATATGAAGACCAAGATATTGTAGTTCCTGTATTCGTCGCAGTCTCATTTTGAGGTATAGAAATTGTATGACATCGTTTTCGTAACCTAGTTAGGGTGCAACTTGTCCGAATTCTAATGCTATATTAGGTATCATAATTCCAAACGTCGGACCGTTGACTTGGTATATTCCCAGAAGTTTTGCCAGCATGGTGAGCGGTAGCGTCAGTGAGTCTCGCCATTCTTAGCACCAAGCTACAACTTGTCGAAGAGACAAGTGGAGTTAATGAAGTCAAGTAAAGACCAACTTTCCGCTAAAAACGATTGTACCATCACTTCTCTTTCTATCCTGGTCCATCTATTCACTTAATAATTTTTTACCACACTCCTGTCATATCACGACTTATGCCATGTTTATATTCCTCTCCTCAAAATTTGTGCTCTTTTTTCCAAGTTTACTTTGGCGTCACCACACCTGCTGTTTGCCTTGATCCACTCACTTTAGATTTGTTGATCCGATTTTGTCCTCCTATCAGGAGCCTTCTCTTTGGCCTGTAGATCCGTTTCTTATTATTTTAGTTGACTTATTTTACTCGACTTCAATTCAGGTATAGATTTTACTTCAGGCGCCATTTCTTAAGCCAACAGTAACATGTACATTGTCCTCCCGCTGAAAAGAGCGCTTAAGCCTTGATTCCTATGTCTGTAGACATCAATTATTGTCTCTATTTGTCAGCTATGTGTCTCTATGTGTCAGTTTTTCGAGTGGATTTTTAGTGAAACCGACCTTCGAATCTCTTCACCCAACAGTTTCACTCGAAATTGAAGTAACCTCAACAATACATAATTTATTCCTCTCCATAGCATATATTTCTCCCAACCTGTGAATCAGAGGAAAAGTGATCGTTGGAAAGAAGCGGATAAGGAACTTTCGCAAATCAAGAGAAAACATTCTCAGTAAGTGTAGTCTGCTTGAATAAACAACTACAAATTTGGTGGCCTGGTGGTCACGTAAATAGGGAGACGGATAATGACAAGAGTCACAGGAATTCGGTATTAAAGTCCACTCGGGAGATAGCCAGCGACCAGAGATAGACATGCAAAGTTCGTTCAGATTACACGGGTTGAATGAAGAAGATGCCATGTAAAGACAATGCTTGATATCTGCAGGCATGGGAATCAGAGCCCAGTGAGGTGACAATGTACATACTACTGACGACTTCATAAATAGCTTTCAGTATCTTTAGATAGGCAATAAGCTCAAATTTCTCCTACATAATCAGTGTGAAAATATTACCTCGTCATCACTAGTAGTTGCATCTGTTGGTCTACTTCCATCTGCTTTAAACATTCCGAGGTTTTTACGTGAAACCTGTTGTCTACCGATCTCCTTTTGATGCCTTCTCATGAAAGATTTTCTGCCTTTTACTTTTCTATCGGTTAAAGATAGCCCATTTGTATGTTGTCTATTTCCTTTTGCTTTGTACTCAATTTGGTACATTCTGCTGTCACCATCGTCGCTGCTATTCTTGAATTCGACCACTTTATTTTTCGGAGATTTTAGATTTTTTAGCTTTATATCCTCATACTGTTTTGTCTGTCTGGAATCCTGTGGATCAGATTGGTGTAGAAACTGGGGCCTGTCAGTGCTCAAATTGTTTAACTTACAATTTGTGAAATCTTTCAACTTATCGTACACATCTGGTAAGGCAGGCAATTGGTCATCAAATGAAACTTCAGCTTCACTCTCCAAATCGGATTCGCTTAGAAGAGGGATAAAAATGAGCACAAAATTACATTATATTTTTTAAAAATAGGGATAAGCGCGATTATTATTTATTATAGATATAAGTATTTTTCTAAACAGTAAAATAGGCTTATACAACAGGCTCTATCCCACTTTAGCATGGCAGAATCTATAAATTAAAAATTTTATTTACACAATAAGACTTTTATTAAATGGGCAAATAGATAATGTAAGTACTCTTAGATAAAACAAATATTTAGTCCTGACTATTATGAAACAGGCATTATAAATAAGTCTTTTTAGGCTTTCTCAGTCTAGTCCTTCTTAAGAAGGTACCATTTATTGCTGATATCCAAACCTCGGACCTTTAATCTTCAAGCTAATTTGATGAGTTAACTTGCGATTCAGGTGAAAGTGTCTGATTAAAAGATTCGAGACTTTGTTACACCAGAAAATGAGGGCAGATTCCTTTTAGCCATTTGTCGATTGACTTTATTGGGACAGTCTGCTTGACGCTCTGCCTGAAGCGAACTTCTTTAATTCTGATGAAGTCATGTTAAGCTTTTATCTGTAATTTGACTGGCATTACGAGAGAAGGGTATCATTCCTTTAACCATATTCGAGTTAACGGGTCAATAAAACTCATTGGCCTATCCACAAATGCCATATATATCCCCCAAATGTATCCATCTTGATGAAGAATGAAGTGATTTAACTCGTTATATCTCATATTAATCTCTACATCTCACTTGTACTTGAAATTGAAGCTAGCCTAACACTCGTAATTCAAAAAGACTCCTTCAAACCCAACCTTTGTACATATACATACAAACATCTTCATGAGGTCTCTAGCCAACCAAATAATAATCCTTAGACAGCAAATTGGCAAATCTCCCAGTTTGAGATGCTTTATAGTTTCATTCTGCGATAGCTAGAAGGCCCAGTGAATTTTTTTACTGCTTAGATTGATTTTCTCTGTTTCTTTTTCAATGCATAAGACAAGGAAGTCTAATATTCTATTGAGATAAATTTTGTTGTGAAGATTTATTTATAATCTGAAATTTCAAACAGATTTTATCAAATATAGGACACCAACATAATTTATTAGTTAAATGCTTTGGATATAATCCCAGAATAGTGATTTTCTTTTCAAACTTGATAAGCGAAACTGATAATTTTGAAGGAAAAATGATTTGATGCCCTAGAGTAACGCTAACTTGGTGGTTAAAACAGACTCATCATCCTTACAATGTCAAATTCCATAATAATCTGGGAAAAAATCGAATCATCAACATAAATATATTTTCCAGGTGCTGAAATCGGTAGCTAAAACATTTTTTACCCAGAAGTCGTCTCCTCTAAAAGTGGCTGAAGCCTAAAGTGGGCAAAGTACACTTGCTTTAAGTAGTTTTTTAACAAATTCTTTCTGTTAGTTGCTTGATCAGGCATTGGATTGTCTCAAAACAAATGGAATAAATAAACGGATAAATAGAGGTTCGTTTTGATTTCTGGGAAAGATGTAGACGGGCAAAAGTTGGACTAAAATCTTTGTAATATGTCTTTATTTAAACTTTCATACCTTGGATGCCCAAAGTTAATTTTCTGATACAATGCATAGACTCAGCTTAACTAAAAGTCGGGTCAATACATGTCAAAGGAAGATAAATGTGCTCTTTTTTGGTGGACTCAATCAATAAAATGGATTTTTTCACATAGTATGTAACAATACTGGCCACACTCATTGCTCACTGTCCTTCTTTTCTTTATTTGCAGATATAAAAATCAGACTTCTCTGCATTTTGTCCTCACTTGTGGAGCCGGTACAATGCACTCAAGCAATTTATTTTAGCAGAAATTTGCAACAAACATGTCTTGTTGGGTGAAATTAACATTCCTAAAGAGATCATAGTCAAAATGTTACATTATGAAAACTTTTCTTCAAAGGAATTCTTTTGAACCAAGTGAATAGATGAAAGACTAGAATACATTAGATTGTTTTAGAATATTTTGTAAGAGTATACTAATAGTGAATCATGCAATAAACCGAATCAATGACAGCCTCACTCTTCATTGTTTGGTCAGCAGCGAGACTAGTTTGACTAATACAATAAACTCAACTTTCATCCTTTTTATGACAGGTGAATAACCATCATTTATCCCATTCTACAATATGAAGCAATGTACATTAGCTTCAACCGAATTTTAAAAGGGTATTCTAAAGGAAGTCTCTATTAGAATAGTTTATATTCAATTTTAAGAGTGATGGAAAACTTACATGTACTAATATGAGTAGTAGCATTATGCTAAGAAAATGATTACAAGAGTAACCTTATTTCGTACACATTGTCAAGCCAAGAAATATTTACAATACTGGAGAGGATGGAAGCTGAAATTGCTCCAATCCAGAATTCATTTTCACATTTAAACGCATTTTTTGGCCTTTTTCATTCAAGTACACTTGAACACTATTTCAGCTGAACGTAAATCCTTAGGTGCTGCTTTTCCTTCAGATCAGTTCTGCCTTTATATTATTTTCATTCTGGAGCATATTTTCAAATTTTAATGAACAAGTTTTAAAAGTCTAGCTTAATTGCGTTACTTAGTAAGATAGTCCAGTAATGATACATCGATACATTCGGCAGAATTTCTCTCTCTTTTTGACTTTATTGAAAATATTTTTAATCTATTTCAAGCTTGCAATTAGCTTACAAGCTCGCTTGCAAAGAAAAGTAATGGAGAAGCCATTTTGAAAAAAAAGTTGGAGATTATTTACTGTGTCTGGCATATCAGGTTTTTGGTAGAACAAAACCAAAATGTCCTGTATGAGTTGGGAGAGATATAAAACGAACCTGCTCTCGGTCTCCACGTCCACATTACGAGGTTCTGAGCTGGAGTAATTTTCAAAGTGCTTTTCTGCTTTAGCACAGGAAATTTCAGTTGACTCGGGCATGACAACATTGGGTTGAACTACCTCGAGAAGCAAATGCGAAAATAATTGTCCAAATGCATCTATTGACCGTATCGAAGAGGGAACCTCTTCTTTAAGTGGAAGAGAGGGAGGGTCAAACGGCTGGTCAGGTTGCACAAGTGTTTTAGAAATGAAATCTTTTATGTGACACCTCGAGGCATCTGCGTAATCAAGAAAAATGTGGCATAATAAAAATAGATTTAATTACAATGAGATACATACTAAGCCATTAAACAGTGGATACCTTGTTTTATCCGGACTCCTTTGCTGGACACTTTCCCCATTATGTTTCTAGCCAACTCTAGCAGCACAGCATTTAGCTCACTAAAACATGCAAATAAGGATAAAAGGATCGAAAGGAGACTGCTTAAAAATTATGATCTTTATTTAATTTAATTACATCTTACCCCTCATTGTTTTTGACTACTGAGTAGGAATACATAGTACGCGCTAAATTCTGTCCAAATCTC